TGTCTGTCTTCAGCTTGCAGAGTAATGCGGTTATTTTTATGAAGGCATTTTGTTGGATTTTAAAGAGGAGTGAGGCGCTTTCTCCCAGCACTGTTTTATCATTCATTTTAATAAGTGATTTAATTAGTGAACTGGTAGTTTAAAGTTATAGTAGGTGCCACCTTTAATCTTAATTACGATTGCTTGCACTTGGCTATAACTGTTCCCAAAACACAACTAATATTTAAATTACTCTCCATTTCGTCAGCACCGTTTGTCAGAAAGCTGGAATGACACCGTAAATACCAATCGTGCACAGAATATTAAAACCTCGTGTTGCCGTCCATGTTTAGTTTGTATCATCCTAACGGGTTTGCTGTACCAGCTTCTCCCAATAACAGATTTGTCCTGCCAGCTTGTTTTGCTTGTCTGGGTCGTATCCCCCCCCCGTGCTGGTCACCCTCGATTTAACAGGCTGGCTTTGCGTCCGCGAGACGCCCTGATCGGCTCTCCTTTCTTGGCAGCTGGTCTGAGAAGCGCAAGGAATGGAGGTTCCAGAAAACGAGGCAGACCTGGCTTCTGCAGCACATGTTCGACACGGAGAAGGTAACGGCCTGCTGGGTCCCCTAACGCCCACCCCCCAGAAATGGAATCTCTGTTCCATGTACTTGCCCTGTTCCACCAATGAAGTACTTTGTTTATGCAATACCTTTCAAGAACAAGTGTCACACAGTGCTTCACAGGTAATAAAACAAAGATGATCAACATCACGAAAAGGCCTGTCTGTAAAAAAATAAATAAAATTGTATGTTATGTTGTTTAAAGGTGTCCACACTGCTGGCTGATCTAATGTCTAATTGTTGGACCTGGGATTTCAAGAAAATCTTGGCGTAAGACCATTGAAGTACTTGATTCAACTTTTGAAGGGCTTGATGAATACAAACCATGGTGTCAGTGACACGTTGGCGATCACAGATCTTCACGTTTTGGTCCCTGCACTCAAACCTGGAGGGTGTGACAAAGAAGCTGTTGCTCTGGACGGAAATTTTAAGCCATCTTGCTCAGTTTTAATGTCACCATTTAGTGAGGCCTCTCTGCTTCGTTCACCGTGAGCATTTAGCTCTAGGGGGCGTGTGTGAGCCCGTTTCACACCTCCACCCCTCCTCCACAGATCCCGGAGGAACACTTTGCGGTGCTGCTGTCCTACCTGGAGGGGCTGAAAGGGGGTGCACGGGACACCACAGTGCAGAAGGCGGAGGCCCTGGTGCGGGAGCTGGAGGGGGAGGGGGCGCAGCAGAGCGACGGCCAGCAGAGGGCGCAGAGAGCCAGGGAGGTCGTCCAGCTGCTGTCCTGATGCAGCCCAGTGCAACCTTCACACCCTGGGATTCTGTCGGCCAGCTAACATGAGTGCCTGGACACACCCCCATCTGGCCTTTGGGTGGCTTTCAGTGCTAGATATAGAGAGCAGCTCAGTCCAGTACAAGTTGCAGCATATGATAGTCAGTCTTTCTAGATTCACTGTTCACCTGAACCTTTGTGATGTTTCTAAGGAATGTCCAATGTTACTCACCAGGGTGTTATTGCTATGAATTACATTATGATTTAATTTGTTTTAATTGTTCTGTATTTGACTGTATTTTTTTTTAAAGAGGTATACTTTATTATGTTCAGTAGCCAATGCAGTTGGAAAGGTGGATCTACCCATTTGTCAAATTCAGTCAACAGAAGTGAACCAGATTCACTTTTTTTAAGTTGATGGAAACCTAAAGCAACCAATCAACAGCAAATATCAACTAGCAGCAATGTAGTGACACCTGTCTGCTTTATCTCAGGGTTTCCAGGGGTGAAAACAGGGCTTGCCATGAACCAATTAGGAGATTGTTCATTTTTTAGCTTAGAATAGTTAGAATTAGAAGTTCTGCACCTCTTGTGTGTTATTTATTTATATATGAATTAATTTTGTGAAATGCCAGCAATAATTTCCTCCACCTGACACGTCTCCCCAAATGAGACCGGTGCAATTGCCTGTCCAAAAGTTCTCTCTGTGACTCACTGACCATCACAATGCTCTCCTGTTACCAAATAGGGAAAGACTGTTCTCATCAACTATATACATAATTTTGTCTCAATTTTCCTTTCTATATGACTAAAGGGTTTTGAAAAGACATCTATGGTACATGAAATAAAAGCTTTGAAGAACAACAGTGTATATTTGGTAGTATCTGATTACATTTTAAAAGTGTTTAAATAATGGAAGTTGAGCGTGTGCGACTGTCTCTTTAATTCCAGGTATGTGTGCCTGGTGCTGAGGTGTGGCCAGCCAAGGCCGGCGTGCATGTGTGACACTGCCGAAGACCCCGCTTTGCTGCCCGGCGCTGTGCCTGACAGTCACGCATCAGCAGTATGAGCAGCGGTGTGGAAGGGAGGGGGGGGGGCGCCTTCAGCTGGGGTCAGAGCACGGACACTCCATTCTGCTGAGTGCTGCCATGCCAACCCTGCGTCTCTAATTCTATAATATATCACAGAAGTAATAAGCACAAAAATACTAAAATGTTTGTTGTGAGTCTGATTTGGACAGTGAAAGGGTTTGAAAACCATAGTTTGGTCACTTGCTTCTGGGGAAATAAGATTCTGATACAGGATTTCTTTAAGTTAACTAGCACACTGTGGCCCTTAAAGAGGTCCTGTGTAGGAAACTGTCCGTATAAAAATATATTTAATGGCCAGTGGGATTTCTGCGTCTGGGAATTAAATGCTTTTATTTTATCTATACATTTTTACCCAGTCAAGGTTTAAGGTTTGTGGAGACGGAGAGTGCCATGCTGTCTGGGGGTGTTATGAGTTTGAAATGTCAATTTTCGTCGTATCACAGTTGGTCACTCGCTCTTCTGCTTGCTGTGACTGGATGAACGTTGGTTATGGGGAGTGTGTTACATTTACTTATTCTAGCAGATGTGTTTGTCTAAAGTAAAATAGGAATGAGGAGAGCTTGGGGACAGAGCAGGGTGGCTGGTGCCCAGCAGCCTTGGGGTGAAGGGCCTCGCTCAAGGGTGGTATGGTTACTCTTTCCAGCCACGGGATTCAAACCCACAACCTTGGGAACACTGGGAATGGATCCATCCATAAGTCTGCTGGAAGACTCTCACAGAGGCGTGCTGCACACGGAGGTGAAGTGGTGAATTCTGGGAAGGTGGCGTGGGTTTATTTGTCTTGGAGGGGGGCAGTGTGAGGGAGTCTGTTGGAATTAGTGCAGCCTCAGTTGGCTGGTGTCCGTGCGCAGCGTGAGGGAGTCTATTTGAGCACTGCATTAGCCCCCCCCCCCCTCGCGGGGGCTCTTCACACCCTCTGCACGCTCCCTCTGTTTCCCATTAACGTGCTCAGAGTCAAGTCAGCACTTTGCAGCCCCGTCTTTAAAAGCTTTTTACGCAATAGGGAACCGCGTACGGCCATCGCCTCATAAATGCACAGCCTACCCAGAGAGAAAATAGCATAATTATCAGGAAAACTTTTTTAAAAACTCCATGCAGTGGTGGGTCTAATGTCATAAATGGACCATTACAGCCTGTAATGGGTTTGCAGCAATTGGGGGGGGGCAGCTGATCTCAGGCTGGTTTCTGAAACAGGTGACTTACATTTGCGACAGTAAACACCCAGTCGGTTTGTTTTCCAGCCTGTGGGCAGCATTAGTCGCTATGCAGAGCGCAGGCCCTGATGGCGGAATAACAGGATGCGGTTCCGGCGTGGCCTGCAGCCTCCCGCCTGCTTTCACAGCTATCTGCCAGGGTTTGTTTTACAGCTCGGTAACCTCACTGCTCCCTGCCTCCCTCGCACAGTCGCTTGGGGTGTAATCATTACCAGTAGCTTACACCACCAGAAGCCGCGCGAGCGCTCTCCCTGCGCGCTGCGGAAGGTTACAAGGTGGAGTGCAACCGGGTGGCACGCTGTCTCACCAGGCATCCCTGGTACAGGGTGGGTGGATCGCAGGGCATGCGGATCAGGGAATAATGCGATGGGCAGGTCATGCGCATATGGCTGTGGGTGATCCTCGACTGTGGAACAATAGGCAGGGAAGACTGGAAATAATTACTACTACTGGGTATCTAACGTACTAAAAGCTGTTATTCAGTAAAATGATAACCTGGTATACATGCCAAGGTTAGCCTGATGTGCTCACAGAAAGCATGAACTTCAGTGTCTGGGGGGGCGTCTGAAAGTGACATTAATTGTGTGTAATTTAGTTTTTGTGCTTTTCGCACCAGCTAACGGCTACATTTCAACATCTTTTCTGGCCTACATCAGCTCTGAGGTGGATGCTTCTGACTTATCAACAAATTTTGATTTTGCAACAGCAAAAATGTGCCGGTGTTACATCGGCGTGTTACACCACATACAGAGGTGATAAGAACTAAATTTCCACCCTTCTCCAGTTTCCAATACTGGGCAAGAAATTCACTCTAGATATTTTTCAGTCGTGAAATCTCGATCTGTAACAAATTCAGAATGATCTAGCCAGGGGACTTCAATTACAAAGCTGACGGCTCAAGAAAGCAGGATGTAAATTATTTGATTCATGATTTTTTGAGTCATTATTCGTCTTGAGAAACAGACTTTTTTACACATGCATGAGCAGTGAGGCCAGAGTGTGCCTGTTTTCACTGGCAAATGCACTGACATGTAAGGTGCTGATGATTAATGTTTCATTTTACAAGGACAAAAAAATGTCATGTCTCCAGCATCTGAAAGGCACAGCAATAGTTAGTATTGTTAAATATATCTGTATGTCCACCTTCCAACCACTAATCCAGTACAGGGCCTGGAGCCTGTTCCATGCAGTGCAGGGCACAGACTGGGTACATGCTGGATAGGATGCTAGTCCATCACAGGGTACAAATTCTCACATTCAGTGGGGGGTTTAGGGACTACAAATCATCACCCACCTGTTTGTGGATTGCTGGAGAAAAACTGCAGAACATGGGAAGAAGGACACACAAACTCCATACACAGAGTGAGGGGTGAGATATGAACCCACAATCCTACCATATGCTCAGGGGCATCTGAAATGGATATTGACAGTGTGGTTGGGTTTGCATCATATGATTAAACAGCCTGATGCTAGCAGCCTACTTTATAACACATAACATATTTACTAGTGTGAGTCAGAAGTCTTTAAAGGACCAATGGAATTGACTCAAGTGGACATTTAATTTGCGGCTGCATTATCTAAAATATCTGATATTGGATTTATGTGAATATTGTGGTCACTGTTCTCTTGTTACGGTGAATGATTACTCGAAGTTTCTGTCACATGTGTCATCTGTTAAACATGTGGTCTGAAATCCATGTTTTATCAATCCCTTGGTGGCAGAACACAGAAATTGAACATTTAAAAAGAATCACAATAAATATCAGGCTCTCACCAGGAGACCTTGATTCCTTACTACAAAATGTTTCATTTCTATGCCTTAGAAAGGCTGAATGTAAAATGCATTTACTTTATATTCATGCATTCATATTTTGCTGTGCTGCTCTACTCAGTTGCCATGGCATCTTGTTGACCTCTGTGCTTCCTCAGTTTGCCTGAATTGGCGAGATTGGAATGCACAACCGCAAACATCATTTTTTATGAGCCAAGAATAATTAAGTCTGTGGGGACACACAGTGGTGGCTCCAATGTACAGCATCTCAATCATTCCACTGTTTTTTCCCCTTTATAAATCCATGAAAGCCAGCATACATTTCTGCATTTTTATAAATCTATTTAAAGACAATGTACGCTGATGGCAGGCAATACGAAACACAAACTGTAAAAGGCAAATGATGAACACTATTTACATTTCTGACATTCTGACTGCAAATTTAGTCGTTTAATACATTGCTCAAAAAAATTAAAGGAACACTTTGAAATCACATCTCAATGGGGAAAAAAAATCATGCTGGATATCTATACTGCTATGGACTGGGAAATGTCTTGGGAACGAAAGGATGCCACATCGTTTGATGGAAATGAAAATTATCAACCTACAGAGGGCTGAATTCAAACACACCCCGAAAATAAAAGTAAAAAAATGATGCAGCAGGCCATTTCGCCAAACTTTCATTTCAGCGATTCAAAATTGTACTCAGTAGTTTGTATGGCCCCCACGTGCTTGTAGGCATGCCTGATAATGTCGGCGTATGCTCCTAATGAGACGACGGATGGTGTCCTGGGGGATCTCCTCCCAGTTCTGGACCAGGGCATCACTGAGCTCCTGGACGGTCTGAGGTGCAACCTGGCGCCATCGGATGGACTGAAACATAATGTCCCAGAGGTGCTCTGTTAGATTTAGATCAGGCGAGCGTGGGGGCCAGTCAATGGTATCAATTCCTTCATCCTCCAGGAACCACCTGCATACTCTCGCAACATGAAGCCGGGCATTGTCGTGCACCAGGAGGAACCCAGGACCCACTGCACCAGCGTAGGGTCTGACAATGGGTCCAAGGATTTCATCCCAATACCTAATGGCAGTCAAGATCTGTGCATCTCTCTATGGATAGACCTCCCTAGACCATCACTGACCCACTACCAAGCTGGTCATGCTGAACAACAGATTCTTTCACATCTGTTACATGTGCTCAGGGTGAACCTGCTCTCATCTGTGAAAAGCACAGGGTACCAGTGGCAGACCTGCCAATTCTGGTATTCTATGGCAATTGCCAATCGAGCCCACTAGAGGACGTTGGGCCCTCAGGCCACCCTCATGAAGTCTGTTCCTGATTGTTCGGTCAGAGACATTCGCACCAGTGGCCTGCTGGAGGTCATTCTGTATGGCTCTGGCAGTGCTCATCCTGTTCCTCCTTGCACAAAGGAGCAGATACCAATCCTGCTGATGGATTACGGACCTTCAATGGCTCTGTCCAGCTCTCCTAGAGTAACTGCCTGTCTCCTGGAATGTCCTCCATGGCCTTGAGACTGTGCTGGGAGACACAGCAAACCTTCTGGCAATGGCACGTATTGATGCACCATCCTGGAGGAGTTGGACTACCTGTGCAACCTCTGTAGGGTCCAAATATCACCTCATGCTACCAGTAGTGACACTGACTGTAGCAAAATGAAAAACTAGTAAAAAAAAAATTAAAAAAAAAATAAAACAAGATGAGGAAGGAAAAATGTCAGTTTCCTCCACCTGTTAAACCATTCCTGTTTTGAGGTCGTCTTATTGTTGCCCCTCTAGTGCACCTGTTGTTAATTTCATTAACACCAAAGCAGCTGAAACTGATTAACAACCCCCTCTGCTACTTAACTGACCACGTCAATATCCCAGAAGTCTAACTGACTCGATGCTATATAAAGTGTTCCTTTCATTTTTTTGAGTAGTGTACTTTACTGTCCAGCCAATAAAAGCACTCTGTCTGAATGCAGCAAGCAAAAACAAGGACTGGCTGGGAGACCCCAAGGACTGGACTGGAAAACACTGGTGTAGCAGATTATCACACCTTGCATATGCGTGAGAGTATGAGTGTTTTGTCCCCTGTGATGGACTGGCATCCGATCCAGGGCAAAGCCCAGCCTTGGCCACTCCCACGACCCTGACCAATGAAGGTCATGGAGAATCTGGAGCTTGGAAGGCAGAGGATGCAAGTCCATCGCAGCGCATGCACTCACAAACACAATGACAAATTATTCATACACACACCACACAATGGGCCTGCAGGCGTCAGGCCACAACGCCACCCTGAAACATACGGCAATAACAAAAAAACTATTTACACTTTGCTTTTACAGCATCTAGAAAAAGGATCATAAATTAGTAATTTGATACAACATGATACAACACTGTCTGATTCACTGATATTTTCAATGGTTCTCACCTATTACAAAAAGCGACATATTTACAGGAAAAACCCACATGGGCATAAAATAAAGGGAGCTAGAGAGATTTCAGAGTAACTAAGTTACTTAAGTCAGTGGTATTTGATTTGGTAATAAAGGTTGGCTTGGGACCTGGGCAGTACTGGCCTTGTTAGGACAGAAGATAAATCCTGGAGAATAATCCGGAAAGGCCATGCACAGGTAATTCTTCAGAAAGGCAGAGCTTCTCAGACACAGTTCACTAACACTTTGAAAAAACCCATCCCCAGATCCCTCCAGCCACCAGCAGGCATCCGAGGACAAATGCACAGGATTCCCAGGCTCCAACGCCATGATATGGACGACAGACATCGTCACAGCAGACCAGGGAGCACTCCAGGGTCACCACGAAGGTGTCCATCCTGAGAAAGTACAGCTGGGGTCGCACCACCAGCTGCCTGAGACTTTCCTCCTGAGTTTGGTGAAATTAACAGCATTACAATGGTAAATTAAGTCACCTGAGTTTTTCCAGAGATTACTCCGTGTGTCTGCGGTGTGGTGCCGCTTACTCGGCCAGTTGTTTCTCGGAGATTACTCCGTGTGTCTGCGGTGTGGTGCCGCTTACGCGGGCAGTTGTTTCTCGGAGATTACTCCGTGTGTCTGCGGTGTGGTGCCGCTTACTCGGCCAGTTGTTTCTCGGAGATTACTCCGAGTGTCTGCGGTGTGGTGCCGCTTACTCGGCCAGTTGTTTCTCGGAGATTACTCCGAGTGTCTGCGGTGTGATGCCGCTTACTCGGCCAGTTGTTTCTCGGAGATTACTCCGTGTGTCTGCGGTGTGA